TGGAGAAGTTCTTAATACAAGATTGGATGAGGATTTGCATATTTCTGATTTGCTTCAAGATGGGGAGCTACTGTGAGTGCTTGAATTTCGTTGACATTTTTTATTTTCATTTGTCAACATTCTAAATTACTGCAGGTTTTCCCCTTTTTTTGCTGAATGGGTGGGTGCAATTATGAATCTTAGTTTGATGTATATATTCACATTTAATTTATCTGTTTCTTATATTTTGGAAACGAATATGAAAGGAAAAACCCATCTCAATGAAGCACGTGCTTTGCTTCCCTAGAAATTTATCACCTGGCATGGCAAACAGCACCGCCAATAATTATTAGTGGTGCACCTGTTTGTGGGCTTCATTATAGTTCTTCATTCTTTTCTCTCAAGGAAAAGAAAACAATTTGGGGAAACTGTTCTAGTGCCTCTAGAAAGTATTGGCTCCCAAGGTTTTTACTATTTTGGATACAAACATAAATCTTTTTACCTTTTTTCTTGCTGAACAGGTGAAGAAATTTTAAAGGAACAGGATCTTTTAACAACAGAAATTAATTAGCCATTGGCGTGTAATATATATCTTGATGGGGATAATGTTAACATTACGAGAAAACCCAAATACAAGGGATGAAGGAGTAATGATAATGCTTGATGTTGTAATTTCAACTAATTGTGGGAGATTTTCCTTCAGAACTGCATTGTGATGTAAAGAGGGTTAAATTTATGAGAGAAACACCGTTGAGACAATTTTTTGAAGAAATTCTTAGGAACTCGTTCATATCTCTAACTCCAGTTAGCTAATTATGTGTAATAAAAATGGTTTGTTTTCTGTGTTGATTGGTGGAGAGAAAAGGAAAGCATCTATAGCTGTACATGGCACATCATCATAAAACATGAGATAATGTCAAGTTTTTAATTGTTTTGTGAGACGATTTTTCTTTGTGTTCAATGTTTTCGACTTGTCTGATTTTTTAGGTTTGAAGTTTCTAAAGTGGTATGGAATTTGATGTTGGCAAAATGTGTGGAGCTTAGACATTTCAAACATAAACACGGCCCTTTTGGTTCTAGGAAGAGTAGTGGGAGATACAGGCCTTACTCCAATGTTGATTTATTTCTGAAGGTAACACGTCATAACCTTGCCCCCACCTCTACATAATTTACTGGTAAATATTTTTCACTTGACAGTTACTAATTGGAGCCAGAGCTATTAAAGTAATAGAAGTGCCTTTTAAATTTTTCAGTATAAAGCAATCTATTGAACAATTTATTGTCTTGAACTTCTGGGATTTTGTAATTCTTGAAGAAGAAAGAACTGAAAATACTCATATATTATTTCTGTTATACACAGTCGAGTGAGTAACTTGTAGCCGTAGCATTAGTGTTCATCTATTTGCAGAATATTAACAGAACTTGTCAGCTTATCTATTGATACAGCTATATTATCCAATACAAATTCCAAGAAGAAATCACAGATTCAGACAAGAAGTTCCATAAGAAGAGTTCTATTGTATGATGTCCACTACACATCATAGCATGTCCTTTCTGTCAAAGCAAATGCATACTGAAGCATTGAAGAATGCCATTTTCAGAAGATAGTTTTATGTCTTGTGAGCTTATTAATTCATAATCCCCTTTCTTTTTGGGATGTAACAATGTAATTATTGAACCATTCTCCTACCACTGGTGTGTAACAAGCCAATATGATTGAGAAAGCAAAGAGTAAAGAGCACAAGTTCTGAGGCGAATAAATTTGCACGAATGTCCAAATCATAGTTTTTTAATGTACTTTTGTCGAGTTTGTGAAATGACTTTGTTAGTATTTCTAACTACAAGGAGCAAGTAGTCTCTGCCAACAATTTGATATCCTATCTAATTATAGTGGTTAAAAAAATTGATTGCTAATACTATTGATTCTCCTCTTTTTTTCTGGTAGATGTGCAAAATTTTGGGATTGAATGGCATTGATCTCTTTTCACCATCAGATGTTGTCGAGAAAAGAGATATTCGGAAAGTTTGCATTTGCATAAGAGCACTCTCAAGGAAAGCCAGGTCTAAGCAACTAAGTGTAAGACTTTTTCTTATACCCGGATCCATTTCCTGTTTATTCTAGCCAGTATTTTCAGCAGTTTCAAATATTTTTGCAAAATCTGTTTAAAATATTCTAGTCATGCACTAAAATCCATCGACAATTTATTTCTTGTTAGGTTCCGGACTTTGATGTGGTTGTGTACACGGTAGCCATGCCCACAGTTATGGTTGGAGGCATTAGAAGAAGCTTGGAATCATCACAATGTAGCCTTTCAAGTTCATCCATTTACAGCTCCCATAAAGGATCCAGAACAAAATTGAAACAGGTATACCGATATTTCACTTTTCATATGATGTAATTACTATTATTGAGAATTACTTACTGCTGTCAGTACAAAATTTGGGTTGTTTGACTTTGATTGGTGTTTAGATGAGGTTTTTTGCTAAATTATATTCCAATTTTACCCTTACTCAAGCTGGACATTTCGATTTCAAAAACTCAAAAAGGGAAAAAAACTGATGGAGTTTTATATTTGCTTATATTATATGAAATTTAATTTTGAATCACTAATATGCTATTGTCCTACTGCAATGCAGAAAAATCTATATGCAGTGTCTGATAGAAATGACGATTGTCGCTCTGAAGAGTCAGATGAGGCGGAAAGCAGATATATGGAAGAACAGTCCTTTTCTTCATCTGCCAAGAAGTTTGATGCTACTGGTGAACTACATCCAGATTTGGAAAGTTCACCACCGGGAGCATATCCAGAAGTTGGACGATATGTGGAGAGGTCAAATGTACTACAATCAGATATTAAATGCCCATATATAGAGGAATTTGAACATGGCCAGCACGAATCAGCATGTTCAATCAAGCCCAAAAAACTGCTTTCTTCAGAAAATTTTGGAAATGATCATCTGCTTGATATAACATCATCTAATTGCACCGAAAATGATAAAGTGGATATTTCTGATATCAACTTTGCCCTCGAGAATGACGATTCGGTTGTAGGAGATTCTTCTAGCATCAGTGGAGATGGAAGAAATTATATTTCAGATTACTTGGCATTTTCCGACTTGATTGTCCATACAACTGATCGTAGCAGTCCGCTTTTCTTCGATGGAGAAAACAATCTTTTTGATTTCTTCCTGAATGTAGATTCTCAAGAACTAACCTCCGAAAAAAGGAGTGCTCAAAATGGACTTCAAAGGAAATATACTGATGATGAAGATATGGAAGTATCTTCCACCACTAGCATGAGCTCCGTGTTAGGTCGGATGCTTAACTTGGATTTTGACGACCAGTTTGATGCAGAAGATTCTTCAACTACAAATGTTTATGTGGACGATTCTTCATCTACAAATGTTAATACAGAAAATTCTTCAACAACAAATTACTCATCTGGATCAATGGACATTGAGGCTGACAAGCAGGGTGGAAAACCGTTTGTATCGTATGAAACACAAAAAATGGACAAGTTTGAAAACCCACCACGCACTTCAGCTAGTAATTCCCCAGAACCTGAATTCATACATAAAAATTTGGGTGTTTCTACCGAATACTTATCTTCATCTCAGCACAATTGCGAACTATCCAGTCATGATGACTATACTTGTTATGCTTCTGAAAATGGAAATCAGGTGATTATCAACTAAATTGTCCCAATTTTTTATTTCTGAAGCGTTCTATTTGTCCTGCGAGTAACTTGTACTGATTTACTCTTTTCTTATTTAGGACAAAAAAGAACACAATATGGAAGTACTGGCAGAAAATATTTCAGATGGAAATAAGGATGCAAGTCCCGAACTCCCTCCAGTAAATCATGGTCGAAAGCAACTTCTGAAAACAGTTGTTAAAGGCACGGCCCTTGTAGGTGTGTTATTTTTCTTCTTGCACATCAGGTATGTACTCTTTTGTCTGTTCGATTATGATGTTTCTTCTCCTTAATTATCGTGTCAATAATGTAACATGTTGATGCACCTTGTACATGACTGCAGAAGCAGAGGGGATAATGCGAAAGAAACTAAGCCATTAGATCAGACTCAGAAGTTTAACAGTGCAAAGTTCTCATCAAAGAAACAACGGAAAGAAGGTAGAATGAGTGGAATATATCCAGCTGAAAAGCTAAAGTTTGGAAATTAGAAATAAGTTAAAAGAGGATATATAATCATGCACTATTCATCAAACAAGCATTTGAACTTTCAGCAAAGGAAAACTAGAGGCTGGTCAGTTGTAAAGTTGGAGAAACTTCGCCCCGATCTTTGTCAAATATTTGCAATCTTGTTGAACAATAATATATCCCCCGGTGAATGGCTCGTGTACCTAACATGTATATTTATGTTTGTGTAAGACTCGAAGGATTCATTTATAGTCCATGGTTATAAATCGAACATTTTAATTCCAACCTCTTCTTTATTTTTCTTCCTGTGTTTTACTGTTGAGCAGTGATTTCGATGTTGTCTAGAACTAGAGCAGCGTTCTCTCCCACTCGTATCTGTAGACACGCGAAACTATAGTGGAAAGAGTGCTCATAACTTCTCTCTGTTTTAAGCATGCAATTTTGATCAGTTGTACGTTATTCACCTCGTCCACAGCCAACCAAATCTATAGCCTTTTGTTTTGCAGACGTCAAAATAAGTTTCAGATTCTCGATTGTTGACTTGGAGCTCCCATCATTTCGACGAAATTTTGTTTAGAATAGCCTAAACTATCTACTCACAGATGATTAAAGACACTGGACTTGGTAAGAAAATTCATCAAAATAGATTATAATTACGAAAACCAACGAAATTTCTACCATATTACTTCTCGTGAAAAAGAACATGCTCGTTTTACATTATAGATAGTTCTTCAGTGCCACACATCGAGCTTCTTCCTCAATTTCTTCGTGTATTTCGCTAACAACGATGACACAAAAAGGCAGATGATAATTCTCGTAACATTTGGATTGACCTCCTTTCTGCTGTTAGACAGAATAATACTAGAAAAGAGCATTCCAAAGAGTGGAAGCATCTTCACCACATTTGGCATGAACATCCTTCATTCTTTCCACAGATTTACAAATTCCACTGCAGGTCCAGTCGAATGATGCAACGCAAACATTACCTGCTTGTGCTTTCCACTCGCATTCTGCACACAAATTAAGATTCTTGGTGGAATAGCGCAGAAAAATTCGAGAGTAACGATGTAAATTTAAATAATAAGGGGAAAATCAAAGAATAATGCGTACGAGGTGGAGTTCCACAGCACATGTTGCGATCATCAATGTGCTCAACTTCAAGACCGATAAACCATGCTCCAAGCGATACATCTTCATTAGCAAACTTATGCAGAATCGGCCTAATGAATCACAGTAAGAAATGTACGTATAAACAATAAATCATCAGTTTAGTTAACCATTATTTGTGGCTTTTGAAGTTTTTGTCTGACCAATAACTCTTGCCACTCCCTTTAATAAGTTTCTGTACAATGATTAATAGATGAAGACACTTTCGTTGAGATAGTACGAACTACGAAATGAAAAAAAGTAGAGAGAAGATGCCTTACTGGTTTATGGAGATGTATTTTGCGAGATCCTTTGAGATAGCGTAGATCTGCCCAGATGCATGTCGAAAGTATTTATTTCCCTCCTCTCCGAATTTCCAATACTCAGGTTCATGGTACTTAACATTCCTATCAGGAGACAACAGCTTAATATGAAAACATAACATCTGATATGTAAATGTAAATTAGCATAAAGCCATAATATGCCATTGCAAATGTGTGTGTTATGCTCAAGGATTTACTTTTGATAAAGAACTGGTCCAGATTTCATACATCCGATATATATTCTAGGCTTCGAACGATGGCGAGCAAGAGTTGCAGCCAACGTGCCTGCATTATCATCGATTTTCATATCATAAAATTTTGAACCACTGCCAATTTAGATCAAGATATGGTAAGAAAAGGAAAGCAAATGTACCCAAATTGACATGAACATCATCGTCCACCTTGATGTAATACTCAGCATCCCATTTTTCAACTGCTGTGGAAAAGAATGCTTTTGTCTTTGCTGATAACTCGTGATATCCTTCAATATGTTCCTGCAAAATAATGTACTTCATCATGTTTGGCTACCTTAAAAGGAAGTGAAATTTACTTTTCAAGTGTATTTTTATTTCCATACACGTTACCTTTTCCTACTTGTACGTAAAAGTAATTTACTTTGATAGTAAGGTAGTAGTATAACTTATTTATTTAAGTAAATCTTTTGAGCCTACTAAACGTGCACTTATTACAAACAACTTGTGAAACTGGTGCAATAAGAGGATATTAAGTCTCTATTTATACTTACAAGCCTAAGAAAGTCTTTATGCTGAGAGTCCTCCGAGTCAATTGCTCGATCTAGAATGCTGTTGGATGTTGCACTGCATCAATCAAATATAAGTCTAAGGGCAGATTTCTTGATATATTTGTAAGAACGAGCTACGAGTTTGAAAAATGATAAACTCTATATTGTAGTAGTACAAAAGCTTGAAATATAATAACAGATTATTTCTTCAATTAAATCTAGTCGGTATTATACAAACTCAATTACCTGTGGCCAATCGTGAAACGAACAACAATTCCTTTCTCTTGTTCAAGTTGAAGTAAACTTTTACCTAGTAATGAAATTTAAAGTGACGTTAAACAAAACGTCAGGATAAAAACATGCCTTAAAGAATATTAAGAAGTAATACCACCTCGAGGCATCCAGGTTTCTCTAACTGAATCGCGCCTCTTCCTGCTACTAAATGCGGTGTTTATACCAATAACCATAAATGTCTTTTTACTCGTCTCAATCCTGCCCGGGTGCACAGCAACGGTACTAAAGTTTTCGAAGTTCCCAATCTTGCGGGAATTCTTTGTTGAAGGCAGCTCCATACGCAGCTTAGCTATCGAAGAGTCCAGTGATCTGACATGCCTCCAAGGAATTACTTGACTTAGAAAATTAACAAGTTCTTAACTAATACAGAATTTGAAGCAATTGGACCACTTAAGAAATAGTTTAATTTTTCATTTTTGTTTTGAACATATGTACAGTGTACTTACTCTATTGCTTCATGGGCTTCGCTAAACTCTCCAATCAGATCCTCCTTATCCTGAAACAGATTCGACAACTCAATAACAAAAATAAACTAAGCCTGGTTCCAAATATATTTGGGTCAACTGCGTGAATTCCGATAATACTCAGAAGGAATATGGGAATAGGCAAACATATATGAATAAATCGAAGTAACAGAAAATCTACCAAACATACCCGAACCAATTGGATTTTAATTGAAAAAAGAGCAGATTAGTAAGGAAGAATACCTTGTCTGTTGCACAGTCATCAGAAATAGCAGCCAAATCTCCTGGTCGTCGTCTTATGGGCATGATCTGATCCTCTGATTCGGGAACAACCCATATTCTGTAAACAAGAAAATCCAAGACTTAATACAAATTCAAAAATAAAATTATTTTTCATTAAAACCCATTAAAGTTCATAAATACTACAGACAACAACGGTAAAACCAGGACTTAGTGCATGGATTTCAATGCATGAGTCAGTATTATCGTGAAATACGAGGAAAACATAAGATAAATCGAAAATTTAAGGGCAAAAGGGTGAAAAACCTGTTGCTGAAAAGCGTGCCAAGTGCGAAGCTGAAAATGCACAGAATCAAAATCCACCTGAGTGAAACTTTGCCCCCGTTTCTGTTCTTCATCTCGCCTAACCTTTCTTGATTGTTCTAAGGATATAACATTAACTTACAAACAGTCTTGCAACAATTTTCTTGGTATTTGAATATTAAATCATTGATATACTTTTTGTTACAGGGTAGATTTGACTCGTATCTATGTTTGATTCGAAAAAATGGCTGGTTAGGTATTTTTGAATTTTAAATCATTGATATCCTTTTTGTTACCGGGTAGATTTGACTCGTATCTATGTTTGATTCGAAAAATTGGCTGGTTAGGTTAGTGATACCATGACTTCTACTTTCTCTCTTGCTAATTGTACAAAAGATTAGTCAATTAATTACATGTATTGTGATCAAATATGTCAACTTCATAATTAATTATCAAACTATTTCAAACATTGATCGGATCGAATTACTGGTTCAGTTGATGAACATATTAACAATTTAGTCTCCTATAATTTTAGTTAATATTCAGAAGTATCAGCCGATGATATTACATCAATAATGTGCATATTATATTCATATTAATACATACCGTTTTATGCTCATGAAATCGAAACATAATTCGACTTACCAAAATAGTTGAGAAGACGACGTAATGATTTACCGAATTAATATTGATTCATCACTTTCCAATTGTGAATGAAAGCATGTCATTCTTCAATCAAACCTTGCAATATAAACATATAAATAAGGTTAACAATATTCTGAAATCAAACATAAATGAAATCAGAAATGAGAAAGATAAGGAAAGAAGAGATGCAAATGATGAGATTGGCCGAGACAAGTGTTGAACACTTTGTCCTTAAAATGGATTTGCCCCCTATCGGTGCTAACAGTTTCCAACAACCATTTCCTAACATACAACGACCACGTCAAGTCATAGGAGCATTCCAAATGGCTTAGACCAACGAACTCTAATGGAATTCTCTCTTTTCCAAACTATGAATTTTATGCAAAGAAACCACTTTTGATGAAGTGTTTTATGCAACATAAAATGAAAAGAATGATATGGAATGACAAATAAACGTCCAAGGGATCCTATATATAAAGCATGAAGGGATGTGGGCGAAGGAACATACCCAAAACTCAGCAATTTTCATGAAAAGTTGCAATCCAACATGTCGCTCGCCTATCGCTGGATCATCGTTCGAGTGACAAAAGCAGAGAGTTTGTCGCTCAACGGCGCTGGACTGTCGCTCGAGTGAAAGCCTTACATGCTGAATTCTAATTTCCTTCAAACTTTGGATCACAATTTCTTATTCATCCAGAATTGATTTTGATATTCCAAATATACCACGACAATCTATTCGANTTTTTGAATTTTAAATCATTGATATTCTTTTTGTTACCGGGTAGATTTGACTCGTATCTATGTTTGATTCGAAAATTTGGCTGGTTAGGTTAGTGATACCATGACTTCTACTTTCTCTCTTGCTAATTGTACAAAAGATTAGTCAATTAATTACATGTATTGTGATCCAATATGTCAACTTCATAATTAATTATCAAACTATTTCAAACATTGATCGGATCGAATTACTGGTTCACTTGATGAACATATTAACAATTTAGTCTCCTATAATTTTAGTTAATATTCAGAAATAACTGCTGAAGATATTACAAAGATAATGTGCATATTATATTCATATTAATACATACTGTTTTATGTTCATGAAATCGAAACATCATTCGACTTACCAAAGTAGTTGAGAAGACGACGTGATGATTTACCGAATTAATATTGATTCATCATTTTCCAATTGTGAATGAAAGCATGTCATTCTTCAATCAAACCTTGCAATATAAACATATAAATAAGGTTAACAATATTCTGAAATCAAATATAAATGAAATCAGAAATGAGAAAGATAAGGAAAGAAGAGATGCAAGTGATAAGATTAGCCGAGGCCAATGTTGAACACTTAGTCCTTAAAATGGATTTGCCCCGTATCCAGGGACGGACGCAGACCTTAAAAGTTAGGGGGGCACAATTGAACTTGCAAAGAAGTTGAGAGAAATTTTATAATTGAAAATTTACGTTCGAAAAATTCATAACCCATGTAATTTTACATCCGAAAATTTACATGGGATGTGACTTTTTCGGATGTAAAATTTTGAAAAATTTTGATGTCACATTCCATATAAAATTTTCTAATAAAATGATGAAAATTACATTGAGAAATTTGTATCATAAAAATAATAAATGTTAATGAAATAATTGAATTTTTAAAAAAAATGCGAGTTAGACGTCTTTTTTTAAGGCTCACGTTTAACGTATTTTTAACTATTTTCGATATCTATTTGGACCATTCGATATGCTCATAATGTAGTTCTCGAAATAAGTTTTGAGATGACATAAGCAATTTGTAGATTCGATTAGCGTACGATCGTCGGAGAATTTTTAAAATTAGCATGTTATCGAAATTCAAATTTATTGTGATTTTGCCTCCATTTGATGGAGATTAAAATCAAATTTTTANACAGTTATGGATTTCATAAAATATGTTATTAAAATTAATTATTAATTTTGATTTAGATTAAATTTTAGATTTCAATCGATACTAAATACAATTTTATAAAATAAAATAAAAAATTCAAAAATTGGGGTGGGGGAGGGGGGTACTTGTCCCCCAGGACCCCCCTAGGTCCGCCCATGCCCGTATCGGTGCTAACAGTTTCCGGCAACCATCTCTCAACGTACAACGACCACTTCAAGTCATATGAGCACTCCAAATGGCTTAGACCAACGAACTCTAACGAAATTCTCTCTTTTCCAAACTATGAATTTTACTCAAAGAAATCACTTTTGATGAAGTGTTTTATGCAACATAGAATAAAAAGAATGATATGGAATGACAAATAAACGTCTAAGTAATCCTATATATAGAGCATGAAGGGTTGTGAACGAAGGAACATACCCAAAACTCAGCAATTTTCATGAAAGGTTGTAATCCAACATGTCGCTCGCTTGTCGCTGGATCATCGCTCGAGCGACAAAAGCAGAGAGTTTGTCGCTGACGGCGCTGGACTGTCGCTCGAGCGAAAGCCTTACATGCTGAATTCTAATTTCCTTCAAACTTTGGATCACAATTTCTCATTCATCCAAAATTGATTTTGATATTTCAAATATACCACGACGATCTACTCGACGAGTAGAACAAGTTAGTTTATTTACATTTGTAATTTAACTATCGAATCAAATCCCAATATTTGGCCAAAGTTGACACGAAGTCACTTTTCATGGTTTATACTTAACCAAAATTTCAATCTTAAAACCAAATTCCAACAATAACTATATATGTATGGCTATCCGGCCAGAATACCCGTTTTGGTATTCTATATGCATAGATCGATAGCTCCATGGATATTAACAAGTCAATTATAGCAATTAATTTTTGATGATGTAATTTTCTTGAATGATTGCGAAATGATGAATAAACCTGCTTTTCAAAAGATTTTCATGGCTCAATATAGAAAATAATTATAATAATACAAACACAAGAATTTACATGAAACTCCAAACTTGGAGATAACTATTGAAGGTAAAAGAAAGGAAGAGATCATCTTCTATGTAAAAAATTGTTGAAATCATACAATATACATATATGTACTGAACTTTTTTTATATATCCCTATCCAAGATACTCAGAGAGTAACCTGACATTTCTTCTTGCTCGCCTTATCATAAAACCGCATACAACCATCTAAGATGTTTCAATTATAAGTCGAATTCTTACAAAAATCATCATGGAAATTGTTTGATAAGCTAAGAGACCACCACAATGGAAAATAGATCCGTTGGGGTCAAACACATGCGAATCGAGTCCAGGAGTTTGGTGCTGAAACAACATCTTGTTTGTCAAGTTTTGATAGTGCAAAACATTCTAATTCTCACTAGAAGATATTCAAAAATGTTTAATTATTTGAAAACATAGATTTAATAAATTTGGTTGTATAGAAAATATAGATTTTGGTATTGCATGACTTTAAAGTTTGTTATAAATTATTTACTAAATCGTGGCAGATTATTTTTGTGTTCACATGACGTTGTGTAATTTTGAACATGACTTTAACATTATTTTGACTTGGTAAATCTACAAAATAAATTTGCACCTAGTTGAAGAAAAAGATATAATCACTTGTACTAAGATTCAAATATTATTACCAGCGTTCAATCTAACTTATTCTCAAGTAAACTTCAATTGGATCATTCTTATTTGGATATATTACAAATGAAGCTATCATCTATTTATACTTCCATATGTTAGAATTAATGATCGAAATTCATCGTATTAAATGGCTAGAATACACCCTCTAAAATTCTGTACAAGATTTTTACATAAATTATTATGAAGAATGTCATTTTTACAACCTTCTATTACTTCCCTACATTATCATGGATCATTTTAGACTTCTCCCTATGGCTTTAGACTTTATCTTTACCACAATATTATGCAAAGGCTGATGGCTTACATTTTTGGGCAACGGTTGCATCTGGTTGCTTCTCTCGTGTCCATCTTTCAGTTGTGCTTATGTCTACTTTATGCTACGTTCCCTGCAGCCTACTTGTGTTGCTTCTCTCATGTCCATCCTTCAGTTGATCCTTCAGTTGTGCTTCCGTCAACTTTATGCTACGTTTCCCTACAGCCTAATTGTGTTGCTTCTCTCGTGTCCATCCTTCAGTTGTGTTTCAGTCTACTTTATCCCCCCGCAGCCTACTTTTGTGTGCCTTCCCGCTATCTCCATGGCCTATATGCCTCTATACCTTCGCCTTGCACATCTCGCTTCTATCCTATGCCTTCGACCTCTTGCTATCTCACTTTCATCCTATGCCTCCGACACCTTGCTTTGGCATCGCTAAGCCTTTGCCGCTATCTATTGCTGTGTCGCCATCCAACCTTTGGTCCCTCACCTAGCTCGCACACTTCTTACACATTCATGGCGCTTTTCTATGTGGACGTTTTTACAATTACACGATATCTCTCGTACACTAAAGCCCTCGAGCACTCCCAAAATATTGCC